CCCTATTGACTGCCCCCCAAGACGTAGCTTTGTTTCCGCGAGTACCGTTTGGTTTGCTGAATACTATTACACCACTTTGTTTACGGAGCCAATCCAATCGTTCACGGTTACTTTGCTAGAAAATGAGAAGCAAAAAGAATGAAGTTCACGACGGCAGAAACGGTATCTACGCAGATCTGATGGCTCTTACTCGATATCTGACCCTCCTTCCCCCCGCTCTCTGCCTGCCCCCTTTCGCTTTCGTTTGGCTTGCGCGCGCGGGTGGTATGGGCATTCCAGTTAAGTCAGGAGCATGTCCTGCGAGTGCCGAAGGGCCTCAAGCGGAATAAGCTCGCCAACAACCTCCGAAAGGCCAAGTACAGGTAAGCGGCAGGCAGAAAAAATGCCCACCAACAAATCACTTTGAAGAGGGGAATAGGTCGCCAACTCTCGGGTGGAATCAATGCTATTTGGTTGGTGTGTCCATGACACTAGTTCCTGCCGGGGGAGGACGGGGGGGTCAACACGTGTGTGTCATCCTACGGGAAAAACTACAGGTGTTGCTGCACTAATTTATGTGTTCAATAGAGAGCAACACCCCCCGTCCCCTCGTAAATTCCCACCGCGGGGTTTTCACACCACCGCCAACACCCCGATATTAGCGATCGCTTGAATTCCCCGCAGTGCCTCCCTCCTCCTCGCACTCTCCATCACTTCCAGAGAAACATGCAGCCCTTGAGCCCCCCCCCCCTGTCCTCCGCCCTGTTTGCTAGCCCCCCATCAGTACCTGGCGGGGAGTCTTCCTCCGTGCGATGGGACGAGGACGACGTCCTGGCTCTAGCACCGTGGAGGGTCTTGCTAGGCATCGCGCTCGGGGTGGCCCCGGCGGACGTGAAGATGGCCGCCGTCGCCGCCGAGATGCTGGTCAAGGCTGCCGCGGTTCGGCCGAGGTGATTGGTACTCGTAGTCGAGGGCAACGGTGGAAGGACGGGGGGGGGCACGCATTGACTTTTCAGTTTCTGCTGAGGCTACCGGTGGTGTCGTTTTGGCCGGTGATGGAGATATGTGCCACCTTGCCTTGCCATGTTGGTACGGAACACGTGTTGTGTCTGCGTCGTTTTGGAGGCACGGGAGATGCGCATGCTCCCAGATCTGTCCGTTTGGGCTCATTGCTCATTGCTCATTGCTCATTGATCTTCGTCTTCATCCTCGTAGTCTTGTCATTGGAAGAAGTTGCTTCTTTTCTCGGTCGACACCACCCGTCTCCCCCGCGTACAGCAACCAATCCATCACCCCAACAGCCCGTGCTTCCTCTTTACCCTCACGGCATCCCTCTCTCCCTCGTTCTTACCCTCAACCCTACCGTTACCCGTTTACGCACAACCAGAGACGTGGCGGGTGACGCTCCGCGAGATCGATCGATAGCCCTCGTCGCGCCGGCGGCTGCCGCGCTTTGCCTTGCTCTGCCCCGCTCGGATGGTAGCGGCGGCGGTGGCGGCGGCGGTAGCAGCAACAGCGTGCGCGCGACTCTGTATGGGGTGCTGGCAGGCTGCATGGGGAGCGCGTTGGATCTGATGGCGATGGTATTAGACGGGGCTAGCAGGCTGGGACACGTGGTCAGCGCTGACAAGTGAGGGGAGGGGGGCCTGACGCCTCCTGCTGATGCTGATGCTGATCCTGTGTTTCGTTCTTGTTAATACGGCTTGGCTTGGTCGTGATGTGACTGATGTGCTCGTTCGGGAGCGGAGGGCAGGGGGGGGGGGAGGGCAAGAGAAGCGAAACCGGCGGGCGCGAAATCGTTCTGCCGAAGTTTTTGCTTGTCCTGGGTTTGGTTCTCTCTAGCCTAGCGCCAGAGTGTTGTACGGGTTAAGCCAGCCAGCGCGCCGAGCCGTGAAAAACGTCTTGTTCCGGTACAGAGGCCTCGGCTGCCTTGAAAGCCTCCGATGCGTGCGTACGCCAAAGCACCCGTTGCGGCACCCGCTTCGGCCTCTGTCGTCGCCGGCAACAGGCAGCCGGCGCGTAGATCCAGCAAGGCGTCCGCGGCAGCATGTTTGTTGGTACTTCCACGATGCACCACCGGTGCATATTCGATGACGCCACGTCGACAACTTGAGCCAGGACGCAAGTGTCTCATGGACACTGTTGTGCTACCGCAAGCCTTCTTGCCGCCTCGTTGTTTGTTGTTCTGACCTGTCTTGTTTTCCCTTTGCCCCTTCTCCCCCTCCCCCTCCCTCCCTCCTAAACAAAACTTGTCGCGATGTCGACTTGTGCGTGACTGGATGGCGATGGCGATGGCGGTGCTGTAGGTTGGAGCGGCCGAGAGCCGTGATCGGGCTGACGGTGTCTTGCATCCTGGTGGCCCTCCGTCACCTTGGTCCGCTGGCGGAACCGCCGCTGCCACCCGCGAATACGCCACAAGCCGCCGCCGTCGGCAGTAACGCTGCCGGCAACGGCGCCGCCCAGTCGTCGTCAGCGGCGGCGGCAGCTGCAGCACGGGCGTTCGTTGAGGTGTTGGGGCGCGCGTTGGACACGCGTTTCTCGAAGCACCTGGGAAGCTCGGCCCTTTCCATGGTCATGTCGGCCGTGCTTCACTGCTGGCCGCCGCCGCCGCCGCCGCCGCCGCCGCCGGACGGCGTCGCAGAAACGGAAGGCGGGCGTCGGGGGTACGCGATGGGCTTGTGGCGTCTGGAACCTGACGGTAGTTCGAGTCGCGACGGCGGCAGCAGCAGCAGTAGCAGTAACCGCGCGGGTGAACCGTCAGTAGACTGCGGTGAGGAAGCGCGGGTAGCGGCAGGAGGAGGAGGAGGAGGAGCGAATCAGCCGGAGCAAGGGACCGACATTTTCGAGGACGAGTTCGGGTCACTGGTGTACGACGCCGAGCTGCAGGGTCTCTTGGATGGTGGTGCCGGCGGCGCCAACCCACCTCAACCTAGCGCGCAGCAGCAGCAGCAGGCGGAAGCGGCGGCGAGGGAACAAGCCGAGGCAGCGGCGGCGGCGGCGGCGGCGGCAATTGAGAAGGGGCGAGAGGAAGTTCGGCGGTCCCTTGCCGACGGGGCGCGGACGCACGTCCTCCCTCACCTGCACGCGATCCTCAAGACGACGCACACGGCCGCTCGTTACGCTCAGGCCTCGGCTTCGGCTTCGGTGTTGTCTTCTTCCTCCTCTGCGGCAGCAGTGGCAGCGGCGGGGGGGGCAGAACCCTCTCGTGGAGCAGGAACGGAAGCTTCGGCTGGCGGCGGCGGTGGCGGCACCGCTGGGTCGAGTCTCGCCGCCGCCGGCCGCTCGTCTAGCATGTCTAGTGCCGTTGCCGCCGCCGCTGCCGGTCACTCTACATCTTCGACCGACTTTTCAATAGTAGACGCTGGCACCGTGTTGGAGTTGCACGCCTCGGCAGCGTTGGTGGCCCTCAACGGTAGCGACAGCGTCGGTTTCGGCGGCGGCGGTAGGAGCGGCAGCTTCGGCAGTGGGGGGGGTAGTCAGGCAGGTCGCGGGACCAGTGGTAGTAGTGGCTCTGGATTGAACGGCGTCTGCGACAAGTACCTGGAGATGCACAGGATGGGGCACAACCCTCTCATGCCCCAGCAGCGCCTGCTCGCGGCGGCGTTCTTCTGCCTGGTGCTAGAAGGCGACGGCGGCGGCGGCGGCAGCGCCAGCGCCAGCGCCAGCGGCAACACAGATGTCGGTCGGTCCTTGGCCCACCCGTGTCCGGCCCCGCCGTTGCTAGAGGCCCTGAGAGGGAAGGAGTGGGAGATTCTCCACCTGTGGGTGCAGGCAGCGCTCGATCCCCTCGCGTTCCCCGCGAGCCGACGGGGCGACCGTCGGCCCCGCGGCGGCGGCGGTGGGAGACGGTCGAGCAAGGAGCCATCAGACATCGTCAAAGACAGGTTCGAGGGCTTCACCCGTTACCTGAGCGCTGCCTTCCGCCCCGCTGGCGGTGGCGGTGGCGGCGGCGGCGGCGGCGGTGGCAGGCCCGGCGATGGGCAACAGCAGCAGTTGAAACCGCTGGACGCTGATCTCGCGGGCGTGTTCGAGAAGCGAGTCGTGCGGTTTGAGCCGGCGCAGCTTACCGCGCTGTCGCACGATGAAACTCAGGTATTCACAAGAGAGGCGACGGCTTTGCTGTTGCTGCTGTTGTTGCCCCCCGGTTAGGTTTTTGTGTGAAGCCAGGGTGCCTGCCGACTCACGACCGGATCGTCTCCGCTCCCTACGTAGGCCGGGCGTGGTAGAGTACATGTACCAATGGTAGCACCCCCTTGGCATGGCTGCGGGGAGGGGGGGGGGGGGGGTC